TGAAGGAGCTTGTGCACAGGTAGCTTAGATTTCTGTTTATTTGATAATATGACGCAGACCTTTTTCCTCATCTCCTCGCGTGTCTCCCGCCCTGCATCACTCCCTCCTTTGCTCCCTCTCCGTCATCCTTTTTCTCTCTTTCACACACACACACACTTGTACCACCTTGATGAATCATCCGTCAAATAAGGCAAATGAGGTTGCGGGCTCGGCACTTGGCAACAGCTCATGTAATGTTGAAGAGTATGTTTATTGGCCTGGTAAAACTATACTTAAACTATACTTGGTGCCCTGGACTCACTCGCCCTGTCTAGAGACCACTGAATACAACCACATGCTGTAAGTTTGTGGAAGAACAATTAAAAAAAGAGAAAGAAACATAACAAACCAATAGTTTAGCTGCAGCTTGTGCTGTTTGTGTGAAACAAGTGATGTTTGGGCCCGTAGCGGAGGCTTCGGGAGGAGGTGGGGATTGGCTGCCACTTGTGCATCTTAAAAGCCATCTGTTTACATTTAAAAGGTCCACCCCTGTTGTGGGAAGAGTTTAGCAGAAGAGGAAATTTTTCATTTATCTCGCTGCTTTTCACCAACTTCCCCGGCAGCTTCATTTGAAAGTGCCAAGTAAGAAGAAACCCCCCCCCCCCAATTCCCCCAAAACTCCTCAGCTCCTCCTCCTCCTCCCTTCTCTCTCCGCTCTCAGTCTGTCCCCTCTCACTCCTTGTTCCAGATCTAGAGCTCGTCCTTTATTTCACATTTGGGCAGGGAAGTTTTGGGGGATTGGACAGGGGGGCGGGTTGGGACACAGTAGCCAGGGGTGCTGTTGATTGCCCCCTGACCTAGGCACCCATGCGTGCTTAGAGTATGACTTCACTTTCCCCCCTCTGTGCCATTGTGAAGCTTCCAGCATGTCCAATTGTGTTTGTGTTTAAGTCTGTTCAATGACAGGGGGAAGAGGGGGAGAAGGAGGATGATGGTGGTGGGGATGGTGAGGGGTCCTAGAGCACTTTTTTTTTCTCTGCTCCTCCTTTCTCTCTCTCTCTCCCCCCCCCCCCCCCCCATTCCTCTCTGACCCCCTCTAAATTGCAAGCTCCGTGTTCCCAGTGGAGTCGAAAGGGGATGGGAGGTGGAGCGGCGAAAGATTTATACAACAGGTGACAAGTGAGGGAACGATGCTGGCAAGATATAAAGAATGATGCATAGGCAGCCAGCTCCCAGACCTCTCTGAATTAGTTGCACAACTTGTTTTGAACATCAGCAAAAAATAAATAAAATAAAAAATAACACAATGCAGGTAGAAATCGCCTACATTAAAACTTTTTGCTTTTTAGCTAAGCTTCACATTCTTCGTGTTGGAAATAAGCTTGAGATCATCTGACCGTTCGGTGGAATTAAAACGATGTGATGTACGACCACACTCCCACCTCTGTTAAGGCGGCTTAATGATTAGCTACTCCCATGGAGGCTGAGAGCATTAGCCTATAAAAAGGTGCTCTCCCTCCATAAAGAAGGAGTTTTAAACCCAGAGTCAGTTTCAGTAACCCCCTTAACTGTGCTTGGATGTGCTTTATTGGGGGGGTTTGTGTGGCTGAATGCTTAACTGGACCATTGTGTGTCACGGCTTTAGTGAGAAAGCCTGAGGAGAAAGAGCCTGGTTACCTTTGGAGTTTGCCTGCTCTACCTCATACACTTTCAGTGGCAGAAGAAAAGGGCCATTCAGCAGGCCCCGGGATGGGGAGGGAGAGCCCTTTTCACACTGGGCTTGTGGGAAACTTCTCCTCCATACTGTGCATGCCATTTGCATATGACCCATTCTTTTCCCAAAGGTCCCTGTGAGGGAGGAATCCGTGGAACGTTCGCAGAATTCATCAAATCCCTCTCTCACGTGGCCCTCAGGGCCCCTCGAGAGGCTGGCATCGAAGCGCTCTGTTTGACATTTTTGTCTCGGAAATGTAGCTTGTGGCTGCGTCACGCTCACTCGCCTTAATGTTAACGGCAACGCATCCCCGTGGCATTTCTGTGCCATGTATGTTTTAAAGTGTGCTCGCCCATTCTGCTGATTTGAATGTCAGGGTGAATTGAAGGCTTAATTTGGCACAGCAGGCAGGAGTTTCCCCAAATCCCCAGCATGATGTGCATGACAGCCTCCGAGGCTCCCTAGCTGTTGATGATGCAGCCGTATGCACAACGGCAGTCGTTGCCACTCGAAGGACAAAAATATCCTGGAGTTGCTGACTTAGGGTGTTTGGGGCCGGGGGTCCAGATAATGGGGGTAAGCGGTGGGAGCTTGTAGCGACGCGTCAGCTCGGTGAACTGGACAAAAACACAACTGTCGCACCCTCCCGCCCATCCAGAATCATCCTGGGTTACTTCACTCCAGGTCATGTTGGTAGTGTAGTAACAGCATCCACGCTTTTCTTGTTGTTGAGCAAGGTGTGTGTCTCTGACTGCCTTGACCCTAGCCACAGATACTGCCACAGAAAGCGGTGTAG